TTGTCATATTCGTTTATTATCCATTTAGATTGATGATTTAATTATGACATTTTAATTGAATTCCGCCATATTAGATAATAAATTTGATCAGACTACAAGTTTTAGAGCTTAGAAATTTGAATTTGATTTTCATGTAAAATGGATTTATGGAATTTCTACATTTCATAAAAGGAATTGCTGTTAATTTTGTTAAGTTAAATGCATTGAAATATAAGCTTCAGAGAAATGTTGGGGGTCTTTGGGTTGATAAAAATTCTCATTTGGGAGAAAATTGTAATGTGGAAATTGGATTTTAGAGCAGGAAATTTCGGTCTAAAGACAGATCTTCATCTGTGGGTTTAGGGGTTATCCAATTGAAAATTATCGATTCTTATATTTTTATGGACCAAAACACATTATGAGATAGATTATATAATTTATCAGATTATATTCTGAATATTTATGAAAAAACAAAAAAATTCAATTCAGGAATTAGGTTGATTGAATTTGGAATCTTGGCATGCAAAATGCATAAACTATTATATATTTTGAAACTTTAGCTCATGCACTATCATAAATATCACTTTAGAGCAAAAGTCACAATTTTCATGTTATTATAAGTTGCCAATTGATAGTACCAATTTATTATAATAACCGATCAATAACAAACATCAATATACAGTACCATAGTTGATTAGTTTGACTATTTATTAGTGTATTTTATAGTCAATATTGTCCCTTTGTATTGTGAGATAATAACGCTATGCTAACACTATGCCAGATTTAATGGAGAAATTTTGTCATTTTGAAGGTGTTAAAAGCGTTAACAGATCATCATTATTAAGTATTGGAATGAGAGTGTATTGTGTTATGAAACCTATAAAATATCTGTCAAATTGACAATATTCAGCACATTATTGATGGTTTGTAATTAGAACAGTGTTTAATTGATATTGCTATCAAATTTTGATTGTTCTAAGTGTTTACTTGATTGCTTGATTTGGATTTTATATTTGATAGCAGTTTTGACATTGTCATATTAGTTTCAGAAAAGAAAAGTTCTATTTCATTTGCAATTGACTTTGTCTGTGTTGCAGAAACAAGTTTTTTCTTTCTTGGAAACAAAAAGCCATTAATTTGTGTGTTTCTGAAAAGAGTATTCTACACAAACTCTCAAGTCATACAATAGAACTATGATTTTATTAGATTACACCTCTGGTTTGACTTTTTACTCATCTTGTTATCTTTTATAAATTTCCTGGTTTATTGTAGAAACATCATATGATAATAAATTTTATCTAATTTCATTCAAAATTTTGACAAGGTTCAAATCTTGGCTGACTTATATTTTTATTATTCTCCAAGCCTCTCTCAACCCCTGAATCAATTATTTCTTGGACCACCAAAAAAAATGAGATGAAATGAATGGAGTTTTCTGCCCCAACGCAATGCAAGGTGCAATGAGGGAAATTTTGCCAGCACAGCAGCATTAGCTTGACCTTGTTCAATTTCTGAAAAGACTAGACACTTTTTTCAATGTTAGCTGCTTATCTGCATCACTGACATGGAGAAACCGGGTTGAAAAATCCGAAGGTATCATCTCCACAGGATTGAACCCTGGACTTTCAGTTAAAGAGCAAACATGTAACTCACTGAGCCACGGCAGTTCGACCAACAAAAGAACCATGTTATAGGTTTTGGCACTAGTACACTGGTATTGGCACAAGCCTCTCACAGGTTTATAATCATTGACATCTGGCCAAGTACGTCTGGTCCAACATTGCCTGCATACTGAACAAGTTGAGACTACTGAAAACAAAATGGAGGTTGGTTAAACTATTCTGTGTCCACCTGTTTAAAATGTTCTAATGATTAAACTCAAATGTGGACTAAAGACTCAGGAAAACTAACAGAACTCGTGTTCCTGGGTTCTGTGCTCTAATTAGAAACATGGCTGAATCTACCGCCATTTTACTCCAGGGAGCTGTCTGTTTTCTCTAAAGGATTCAGTATAGTCTTGTGTTTGTTTGTGAAAGTTACATTTAATTCTACCTTAGTCTATTCAATCCAGATGATATATAAACAATTCCATGAGAAAACAGACACCAAGAATAAGAGAAAATCATGATATGCCAATAGATTTCGGACATATTTGATGCCGTGGTGCTAACATTATCGACATAAATCCACAGACATCTTTCATTTTTCTCTGCATATTTTTTATTCTTTGTTGCATGTCTTGAAAAGTTTCCAATAGCTGAAATTAGAAACATAAGAATTGTTTCTACCATGTTTTCCTGGTTTTTCTCTGTATCTTCTGTTATAAAAATGACAGAGGCTACCTTCAATAGATGAATCATAGCTTTGTTTGGAACAGTACTTCTGGTAATAAACTTAAGAAGTTCCAATGTTTTTGGTAGAACTACCCAAAAGATTTCTCAACATCTTTGTTAGAAGCATATCTTGTCAAAAATTGTCAAAAATTTTTTGTTTGAAAACATTTGTAATAATAGCTTGAAAAGTTTTTTACGTAAACATATAGCATCAATTGAAACAACATGGAGGTTAAAAGTTTGAAATACTATACATATTTGCATTCCATATTACAATCTTCATACAAATAGCCTCGCATATCCGCACAAAAGCATGGGGCTATCAGGGTTTCTGGATTATTGGAAACCAGATAAACACGGCTCCACGATATATCATCATATGCATATTGAGAACGATTCACTTTGGTTCCAAAAAGCAGAAAAAGCAACTGATCCTATCAAAAACTAGATGAAAAAAGCAAGACTGGTAAGATTTGACATGGGTGGTCCTCAATGTATTTGATCGTAAAATATCAATGTTAGCAATCTAGTAATAATATACACATGTAGACTGCACCATATCTTTAACCAGATAGCAACCATATCTTAAGGTTGGTAAAAACTGCCATGTTTTGAGTAAGATGTAGAGCACATTCCATCAGTAAAATATTGCTGCCTTAAAGGGAAAACGGAATGTAAAGAGGTTTTCTAAAATTTTAGTATTCAGGAAAGCTCATAGCTCTGATTTGCTCCATTCCAAACTTCTGTAGTTCTTGCAATTCCACTAAAACTGAGATCACAAAAGCTACCAATAATATCTAAGAACATTTTAAATAGTCGAAAAGATAAAGAAAACCATGTCCACAGTCCACATGAGGGTTAATTTGAATCAGTTGAAATTGTAAGGCACTTCATGGCATTGCACACCTTTATGGAGCATGAGGCATTGACACCAGCCATGATATAAGTCATAGAAATTACAGTTTTATGTATATTAGTCATATTTTATTTCTATTTTGATATCAAAGATTCTAGGGTTTGAATGAGATGTAACAGATTTCAGTGATAATTGAAATAGACTTTTTAATTTCTAATTTATATATTTCTATGCCTGAAAATCAAAAAAAAAAAAAAAAAATTGGAAACTACAAGAAAAATTGTTGTTCTTCTTTTTTCCTTATAATTTGTTTTCTTTTTTTGGCAAAGTTTTGATCAGTCAAATTTCTTCATGGAATTCTGCAAAAAATCTTAGATTTGATTATGTGCAGTTGATAGTAATAGCTGATGAGAGTATCTGATGGCACTCTGCAATTATGGTATAAGGTTTTATAAGAGATACTCTCTATACAAGCAGTGGCCTAGGTCAAAAGTACAGACTATGGATATCAGCATTGGAATACATCAAGTTGATAAGAAGTTACCTACTTCTGGAGAGATTTACAAGATATACAAATATTTCAAAATTGCAAAGCGATTGTTTCAGGGAGTTAATGAAGGGGGATCTAATCTACCATGCACAAGAACATTACTCAGATTTTTATTCCTTTTGTAAGCAGTCACCAAATGTTTAGTATAGATGTTAGGGAATTCGTCTTGAAGTTCTTTATAAAGTGTTTATTTATGGTGTTCAACTTTGCTTCAGACCTACATAAGACTGAAATTATTCATTTGGTTTCTTTGTATTGGATTATTATTTAACATTTCTTCATCTCATATGATTTGTATCACTACATAGTTCAAGAAACTCCTATGTATATATGTCTTTATGTTATAGAAACTGAGGACGTCTGTAAATATCAAAGTTGTGTCCGTCTGTTAAGTTGAAATATTAACTTGACAAATTATTCACAAGTCTTTATTCTGGTAATTTAATTAATTATAATTACAATGGTCAGTCTGGATGACCCAGACATCTTTTGTTACCTACAAATCCTTCACATATCTTGTCTTATTACAACTGTCAATATTAAATTCTCAAATTACACTATTTGAAGCCATTATACAACTTCTTAGATAGAGAAATAAAAGAAAAGGAAAATTATGAACATGAACCAAGAAATATTGAAACAGAACCTGAAACATGTTGTTACTCAGACGTTCATGCTGTGTGATCTTCAGACAACTGAATTTATCTATTTGAACTCATAGAAATTATTTATAATGGAGTTTTACATCCAACTTTTGATCATAAAATGTAAATGTCAAAAATCCAATCTGTTGGCATCTCTCTTTGTGCCCTTGTTCTTTGCTCAGTGAGTGGACTTTTGCTGACTTAATTTAAGTAGCAGGCTTGGTTTGAGATTCAGATTTTTCAACCCCGTTTCCCTTTGTCACTGCAGGACAGAGGGTCTGACTGGTGTAGTCAGTCATTGTGTAGTCGTCCCAATAGGCAATTAATGGAAGACCAGTGTGCTTCATGTTAAAGATACCGAGACAAAAATACCTAAAATAAAGAAGTTTGTCCCATTGCACACTGTAGAGTTTTTTTTTTTGCCTTGCCTTATCAATCTGATCAGATGCAAAAATGGAGGATTTTAATCTCCAGTATGCTTCCTTTAATTCTGGTTGTTTTTTTTATTTATATGAAAGACCCTTAGTTCTAAGGTAGATGTATTTCAGTAATGACCAAAGATATTTATCAAAAGATTAATTTACCTCATTGCATACAGCAGATTATCATTTCTCAGTATTTATTTCATTTATTTACAGATATAGAAGATATAATGCCTGGTACATTTGAACCCAGATTATTAGCCAATAGTAGACTAGTTATACCACTACATGAACAGTTTGAATTAAAGATATTCCCTCCAAAAGGAAAACCAAAGCCCAGTTTCAGGTAAGTGAAGACTGCTCCATAGTTTTGTAGGGTGTGTACTGGAATTTGAAAGCACTGTCCCTGGAATCAAGATTATTTTAAAGCTTGAGAAAGGTTCAAAATGATGACACCTTATTGTCTAGTAATTGACAATCCAACATGGTGGTTATTTCTATCAGATATACCTTAAGTTAAGAAATACTTCTTCCTCTATATGAGATTCTGGGTCAAATGTACTTAATTGCCTTTACATTTCAATTTCGAACCACATCTACATTTTGTACACATCTACATTTTGTACACATCTACATTTTGTACACGATCTTTAATAACAGTAAGACATTAGAAAAGAATAAAAAAAGAAGCTAAAACCCAATAAAATTCTAATATTGGATAAAATATCGAAACAAAAAAGTGTAATAATCTTATTAATCTCCAAGCAAGTTCAACCAATTTGAAATATAATTCAACTAATTGAGTTAGACAATAGAAGTTTTTCTTCACTAATATTGTTACACAAGAGAATTTTTCTAAATAGAGTTGTGACCTTTTAATTGATTTCATTTTCCTTTTAGCACCAAACATTGACTAAGTTTAATTAAATTCCATTTCACAATTTTCCTGTCAATAGCTGAGGAAATGAGAAGGAGATTTTTCTCCAAATTTCGATACAATGTTTACACAACTCCTTAATAATGAAGTGAAAGTTTTTCAGAAAAGTTAAGAATTACATGAATTTGTTACCTTTCTTAAAGGAACACCTTCACTATCTGTTCGACCAATCATACCTTAGTTTCAGAAACATTACATAATCAGTAATAGTGTTCACAGCTCATCGTCGAAATTTGAGCCTTCAAATCCATGTGTATCCATAATTATTCACCTTTGAAAGTTAAAAATTCGACTTGAATTTTAGTAAGACTATATAGAAAACACATATATAGGAATAGACAGTGAAATTTCTAGTTTGAGGTATAGTTTAAGGGATTTTGCGATTTTTGTGCGTTTTAGTACTATTATAGCATAATCAAGACCCAAATCAATTCCCTTTAATGTCGACTGTTCCCCTCTAATGCTTTTCAGCATTTTTTTTTTAATTGTAATAAACAGTTAAGTTCTATTCCCAACAAAAATGTATTTGTTCCATGATTTTGAAAAAATGTAATGGAATTAGCCATTTGTAACCAAACACACTTAATGCACATAAAAATACAGAATGAAGAAGAAAAAATCCCGTACATTGATTCCAGTGGAGAAAGAGGGATGCCCTGCAGTCTACCAGGGGGTAAACTTAGCCAGGATAGTAGAGTCACTGTTTTAATTTCATTCGTCAGAGGATTTTGGCACAATAAAAATCGCAATGTTTGCTGAAGCTACTTTTGTCAATCCTTGCATGTGCGATATCATGACACAAACACTAAAAACTCAATTTGAAAAATATGGCTTCACTTTCTCTTCTACTTTATTACTCTTTGATTATTTAACTTTACCCTCAATGAGCAGAAATAATAGTCCTTTCTTTAACTGTATATTTCATTTGTTCTTTATGGAATATGAGGCCAAAACTTTGGCGCCACAAGATGCTTCTGTTTACTTTAATGGTAACTATGAAGCCTGAAACACATTAGACATGATGAAAACCGGATAAAAGAGGAACATATCAGCTCTGTCTCTGACTACTATTACATATATTTAGAAGGTTAAATGACATCTGATCAACAAATATGTCTTTAGCTGGAAGCAGACGGACAAAATGTCAAAATTTTCAATAGAAACCATTAGTCTGATCTTCCAGTGTCGACAGTATTCTTCCACAATAGAAATTTTTATCAAACAAATCAATTCCTAGAGTTAAATTGATACAAATTTGTGAAAAATGTTTCTACTCCAAATATTGTACTATCCTTGAGGGTCGTCGAACACAAGATGGAGATGTCTGAATGTTCTCTGAAAGAGCTCAAGAGTGTGGTAAGATACTTTTACAAACCTGCTGCAAAATACTTGATTCTGGTCTTGACATCAATTCATTTTCATGAACACATTTTAAAGATTTCTGAACTTGTTTGGAAATCTTAAAAGAAAATCAGACATACATGTTTTGCTGGTATTGAGCTATTATTGAAATTTTGTCAATAGTTTACTATAGATGAAATAACTGATTCTGAAATTTATTAAAATATGTGGACATTAATTTTCAATAGGATGTTATCAAAGATCCCTCATTGTACAGTTCTTAGTGTCTGAAAGCCTCTATCCATTATATTCTAGAAATACATTGAATATTTCTGACAGTTTCAACTTAACTGAAACATATAGTTCACCTGTAATTAAAGCAATATTTCAACTGACACAAAATAGCATTACAAACACCATTAATATACCATTAAACAGTCCATTAATACATGTTGTACATACCATGATATTGATGGTACATACATAACACTGTTGGTACCAGATAGTTTCTGAACATTAATCTATAGGTACCAATTCTTTAGAGACAGTACTCAAATATGTCTAGCCATTTAAAGACATTGGCTCTTTTAAGGGCCATAACTTAGCAATTAAACAGGTTAGTTTTATATAATGACCAGATAACTTTGATAATGATAAGCAGTTCTGTACAAAATCATCACAAAATGCGTCAGAATTTGTTTGTGAACATAACAGTTTTCATCCAATTTAAATGAAATTTGGTGTGAATATTTATAATGATGAGATCTTAGTCAAGATTGAATTTGACAATTTTTCGATCAACGGAATTTGAGTTATTGCCCTTGATTTAGTAAAAATGCATCAAAATTTGTTGGCGATAAAATAATGTGTGTTTGTTTAAATCAACAATATCTTGCACAAATTAGATTTTTGGTATGATTTGACACAGATAGGTGACTGCCCTTGATAAACTGAAAATGTATCAGGAAAGTGGGCGTATCTTGCTAGGCAACCACTTGTTATAAGTCTTTGTACTTTTGTCTTAAAATCAAATTTTAGTGATTATTACAAATGAAGTATCAGCTACAAAATAGATTGACTTTGTGTTGATAAAATAACAAAAATCTTTTTAATACTTCATATTGTTTAACATTTTGGTTGAAAATTGTCTTCTATAAAAAGGGATAAATGCATTATTGTTGGTTCTTTTAAAAATACAACAGTTAGAATAAAACTATCATTTCTATCTTGAAGCTGATATTCTGCACCATCTCAATATTATCAGCAAAATCCAATCAAGCAGGAAAAAGGCGGTAATTAGCTGTGATCAAATTATGTTTTGATCTTTTAAATTGTGATCAACAGAATTCTTTTCATGCCATTTGTATAATTACTTGATTTAAAGTTATTCCTTTTTGCATGTGATTTGTTTGCATACAGTAAGCTAGAACGGGCATGTTCATTGTTCACTCTTTGGAATACTTTACTGAATGACTTGCCTCGCTAGTAATACTGTTTCTCTGTTGGCGATTTAACATACCTTCAGCAAATTATATTATTATGGTGTTTTATTACAAATATAAAGTGACAAATGACAAGTACTTGTAAATGCCATAAGTAAAATATTGCTAGTACTGATAATACTAGTATAATATGGTTATAGTACTGTGATATATGGTAGAATAGTACTAAGAATTGATGTGTAACATGATATATTTTGTCATTGGCTAGACTTCTACTAAAGAAAAAGCTGTTAAACCATTTTTTCCTTTTCATGTTTCATGCATTCCTGCACATTTAAAATTCTTGCAGTCAACTTGTCATTCTATGTTGCCAGGGTGATTGATCTTTGTTCTCTAGAGAAAAGCTGAAAACACATTTTGTCTGCATTGCTTTCAATTCAGAAATTATTCTAACAAAGACTACAGTCATTAATTGGTCAATCAAGCTGTAGCAAATTGCAGTTATATTTTGTACCTTTCAAAATGTCAGTTAACTTCTGCTTCCAATAAATGTCAGTACTCATTATGCTGTCTATTTCTTGTGGAGAGTATCCTCGCCTCAAATTAGCTCTCAAATTAGCTCTTTGACTTTTGGTAAAGGCAGTTTTTTTGTCGGGAGTTGTGAAACTGTCAGATGAAGTAAAAACATGACATTCTTGATACAATTAATGTTGTAGAAATCCAGAGTTTTTGTCTGTAGCAACTGATGGTTTCCTGTAGAAAAAAAAAAGTGAAAAATTGAAAAATATTTTGTACCTGAGTGTAATTACGCAAGTTCTTCAGATTGCCGTCAAGAAATGTGGAGCATTTTCCAAGAATGTTTTTAACTAATTACCGTAGAGAATTGATCTGGTTGTTTATAGTAAAACTATAATAGATTTTCTTTGAAGAGCAAATTGTCAGAATATGTTTTGTCTGGGTCCTCTAACATTCTCCAGAAAATCTACAGGTGAAAATTCAATGTGAAAATTTCTTTAAGGGATGACAACATTGTAAGCTTGTCTACATGTAACTTTTAGATTAGCTCAAATTTGTATTTGAAACTACAAAGAATTTTTCATTTTAAGTTTTTTGGGTATGGCCTGTAAATTCAGATCTTTTAACTTTGATTGTTAATGTCAGGGTTTTACCTCAAGAGGGTAATTTTGATTTTGGGGGTAAGAGGCGTTTTGTAGTCTACCATAAAATTTGTTGACTTGTAGGAGAAAACTTAAGGAAAATGAAGAAATAGTTAAGATTTATAGGGGTTATGCCATCAAGTTGAACAGACCAATTTGATCTCACCGGTACCAATTAAAGGGAGTAAACTCTATATCTTCAATGTATCAAACTAGCAGAAGACAATAAATTCATAGTTTTCTTTAGAAATGTTCTTTCACTTTAGAAAGGTGGTACTCTGTAAGGAATTTCATTTTTTTCATTCAAGGCATATTTATATCAAACTTTGTATCTAAATCTTACATTACTTCATGATTGCAATATTTTCTTTGGCCAACTCGAGTCTTTTCTTTGGTGAATTTTTCTTTCCATGTTTTTATATATGTCAAGTTTTTGTGTTTCACATTTGGATTTTTGTTGATAAATTGAGGGTTGTGTTTATTTGATAGAATGATGCAGTCAACACTTGTATTTATGTTGCTTTTGATGCCCTCTCTGGTGTCAAATGTTCCTAATTAAGATGTTTTGATTTCACTGCATGTTTCTAATTTTAAAATTGGTAGACTTTATTTTTTTTCACCTCGTATTTTTCCAGATGTCCATTATTAAATGTCATGGGTCTAGTAGAATTTTAACAAGAATTCCCTCATTTCTGAAAATAGCATCCTAAAAGAATTTTTTTTTTTACTACTTTGGACATCTTCAGTAAAGGTAAAGGCAAGAAATATTTTTGATGGACAAAATATTTGTCTTGAGACCTAATTGTAGATTACTTATAGATGCATATTTTTTGAAAAATATTGTTGCGAATGACAAGTGATGCCTACTACCATTCTATTTCCTTGCCAATCTCCAAAAATTGCTTGGTTGATGACATGTTAACGTCTGCTTCCAGTAGAAGCTGATATGATATCGCAGATTAGGTAGTTGCTGGTAGTCCTGGTATTTGGCTCTCTCCAAAACTAAGTGACTTGTGTATTGATTTTTCTAAGGCAGCTATTTCAAAAGATTATATAATTTTATCATCCAACAAATTACTAAACTTTGCTCCTTTTTTTTCTTCATTTCTCACAGGATTTTGAACTTTGAGCCATTTTTATTGCTAATAATTAGACCAACAATTATTATGTCTTGAAGTCTGTGGTCATTTTAATCATGTTTACGTGGTGTCTAGCATATTTCATCAGAGAATCTTAGCAATAAAACTGTAGACAAAACTGACAAATGGCTTCTCTCGAAAATAATCAAGTTATGAAAGTTGTTGAACTTCTTGTGTAAGAGCAAGTCATCACCTCTTTGATTCATTTCCTCCATGTTTTTAAACAAAATATTTATGTTAATGCAATTTTTGACAATGTTTACACATAAGACAAATGTATTAGTTATGAGTAATGCCTTCTAATAATGGAAGAAAAATGGAATTTTTACATTAATCAAAGACATTTGGACAGATTTTAAAAGACTCTACTGGTTGAACTTTAGATTGCAGCAACATTCGCTGAAATATTTTGGCTGCTTACATATGTTTACACCTGTTTTATTGTATACTACAATACCATACCAATTATTTTAAATTTTATAGTAATATTAATTTATATCATGGTTTCCTTCTCTAACAGCATTATAGCAGGTTGAAATATTTAAGAGTTTTTAACATAGAAAATATGTACTGTTCTCAGATTGACTTCTGGGGCCGTTTGATTGGTGAGCTCTGCACATTCAGGATTCCTGGTAACAACCAGACATTCAGAACAACAAGTTGGAACAGAGTTCAGAACGCTTTCCACCTTTACTGAAAATTCAAAATGGCAAAGAAAGGAATAGGAGGGAAAATTTTGTTCGATTGAGGCCAGAATTTACAAATGAGCAACACCTATTTTTTTTTAAATGAAATTGAGTCCAACTTTTTCTTCTAGGCTTTAATATGAAATTTACATTATCAAAGTGTGATAGATTCAGAATTCTAAATGCTTGGTCTGTGCTTTCTAGTGTTGACTCTCAACCACTGCCAAGTATGCACATAGGATGAGTTGTCTGATATGTCTGCAATGTTCTCATCTGGATTGATGATTTCAACTGAGCAATAACCAACTCTCATTATCAATATGAATTGCTTTCCAACAGGTTCACAACAGTTTTATGTGCAGTTAACTTGTTTATTATTGGTACTTGCATACTCTAGACATCAAGATGTAGTTAAGGGCCGTTTAACACACTGTATTTACATCTCGATGTCCTGAACCGATCAGAAAACCATTAACTTTAATACTTCCCCTTTCTAAATTGTTCACATATAAATTTGTACCTCATTACTACCATATGGGTGAAATTCAACCAGCAGAACTGTGTACATCTGCTACCTATACAAGTGCACCAAATCTAAATATTTTTCTACCAAAATAAATAAGGAAACTATATGCTGAAACAAAGTCCAAAGCTTTTAAATTTTGTTTCATTTACAAATTTATGAATCGTATTACTATTATCTAGTCTCAACACTCATTGCATGATTTTACAAATGCTCAAATTTTCAGTGAGGCTATAATTTTGGTGGGTTCAGTGCAGATTGTTTCCTTAGACACCTGACCCGGTTTTCTCGAAACAATCTTAGCGCTAGGATGTCCTAAAAACATTGTTAAATATTAAGACCCTAGGACGTCCTAGCGTTAAGGTCGTACAGGGCCTAGTTTTGTCATTGATTGATCTGGAATGATCCAGGACGGCTCTTGGTTTGATTTTTTCGATTTTATTAAATTAAATTATGAATTAGATGTACTGGATGGTTTTTTGTTGTTTTTTAAAGGTGGGAGTATGCACCAATTTACTTGGTTCTTTGTGAAAAATTTAAAATTTTGTTAATAATGGGAAAATCAATGAAAAAACTATTGGCAATGAAGGTCACAAAAAAGGATTAATCCCTTATTGGTATTCATGAAAAGATAAAGAAATTTTATCAGAAAAAGATAAATCTGGTAGACATGATTGTTTTTATCAATTCCTTTTATTTAAAATCTTGCAGATATACTCCCCCATTATTACTGCTACATGTATTTTTTTTTCTGAATGAAACATGCTAAAGTTTTGATTACTTTTCTTTCCAGATGGATTGACAGAAATGATTTGAAGATAACAGATACAGGTTTGATCAGAACAGAAGGAAATAAACTAATTTTTGAGAATCCACAAGAGATTGATTCAGGAAATTATACATTGATAGTCAACAACTCAGCTGGTGAAAGAAAGAAAAGTGTTTGGGTCATAGTTTCATGTAAGTAGAATCCAGAATTTTTGAGAAATTTAAGAAAAAACATTTCAGTGTATAAGTGAATCTGAAATGAAGGAAATGACTTAAAGAGATTGTAAAGAATTTTTCTAAATTATTAATGTGCAAAGTTATCACATAAGGACCTTTGTGGTCAGTGAAATCATCAAACGCTCAGATAGTGGAATTGCAGGAACCACAGACATCTGATTGAAAATTGGAATGGTGCAAATCGCTGCTATCAATGTCCACAATACACATATAAATTTTATAAAACCTCTTTGCAATCCCTTTAAAGATATGTTTCCATATATTTAAGTGACAAATTTAGCAAACTATTTGATTAATTCATGTTTCTATTGAATCATCATGTATTGTTAATCATATTATATGTTCTTATTGCATATAATTAAGAGTTTTAACCAATCATAAATGTACATGCATGTACAGTCTGGATAAACAAAAAAAGACTTTTGTGAGACAAACTGGTATTTTTGCAAGTCTTTAGAACACCTCTACTTTCTATCATATTAGCATTGTCATTTTCATAAATGAAAATAAGGGAACCCACCTTTAAGTTTAAGATGAGTAATGCCATGAAGTGAGTTAAAGGTTGCCAGTACAACTGCAATAGCATTAGAATCCAAAAAAAAACTTGCTAAAGATTGTTCTTAGAATGGATAGTCAGAAATGCAATTGTATCAGGATCTGTAAAATTTGAGATATTAGAGAAAAAAGTCTTCTCTATCTGAAATAATCTCAAAAACTCATTAATTTTTCCCTTTTTATTTTATATGAATTTTTTATAAATATTTTGTCATAATTATATGATGGTTATTTGAAACTAGTTGAATGTTTTGCTAGATTAAAAGATTCACATTACCAATCATTCTCATTGTGGCTGAAGGGAAAAAAAAGAAGTTGATCTCTTTGATTTGTGATTTTTTCTGTCTATATGACAATGTCATATACAAGTGACATCTAGTGATTAACAACAGAAGGCATGACATGATGTCACTATGTGATTGTGACTGTCACCTTGGTATCCCTGTCAAAAAGTCCACATGGCTTCAAATGTTCATTTGGTTATTTTTGACTCATAAATAACCAATGACTCTGCTGATGGACAATACTGTGTAACAGGTCATTCTCTTGTGAAATGGCTTTAAGCTTAGTTGTTAGATGACATGCTGACTCCTATTGAACAAATGATATCACTCAGTGATTGGGAATGTCATGTCATGTCAGCATCCCTAATAGACTTTGCATTATCTAAAACATGAAGTGTACAATGGAAATTTTTGAAGTAAAAACATGTATTTTATGTCAAATTCGACTGTTTGTTGGTATTTTGGAATGTTGACATTGACCTGTTCTGGTCCTCCTATATCAGTCTGACATCAGACACTCGCTAATCCATAGTTAATCCTTTAATCATAAAAACATTTAAAACATGACGGGTTTAAGTAGTAACAACATTAACTGGAGACCTATATATAAAATATTGTCATTTTACTTATCGTCTGGTTTCATTTCATTATAATTATCATCAACAATTTACTTGACATTATACACATAGATGTGAGCAAATGAATAATTTCAAAACCATTTTTGTAAAGTGTTAAGGGTAACAAATAGAAACATTCAGTTTTAACCTTAGTGGACATATTCAGATATGCTGATTTAGCTGATTTTCCCACCTCATTCTTACAGATTCCTGAGAATTCTCATGATTGGTAGATTCCACAGACATGGCAGAGTGTGCTTACAAAGATTTACTTTACCTCAGAGTTTTCTTAAATTTGGAACGTATTGGGTTAATGCCCTTGTCAATACAAGATTACCTGAAAATATAACAACTTATTCTAAATCAGTGGTTCCCAACCTTTTTCAGCCTTCACACCCCTGGAGCAATCACGTGGACCTTTCACACCCCCAAAAATTTATTCCATCCACATTTGCAGCATGTGATGATGTGAGGTGCTCACAACTCACAATAACTTCTTCTCCTACACCAGTTGGCCACGCCCCTGACACCCTAGTCCTACACCCCAGGGGGGTGAAAACACCCCAGGGTGGGAACCAGGGGTCTAAATGAATACTGTCAAGCAGAATCATAAAAGATTGGACTCTGACCATAAGATCTGAAAAAAATGATGGTTTTAGTACCAATGTTTAGTTGTAGACCAGAAATTTAAAAAGCAAGTAAAGTGTTTTGCACCTACCAATGTTTTGGTACAACTGTTTGTTTAACATATCAACTATGTGATTTATTACCTCATCTTTTTTTACCATGGGTAAACTAAAAATAATCTCTTCTTAATGATCCAGCTGTGATTACTTGTATTGCATCAAGCTGGGTTGGAATTGATGTAATTAATGTGGTATTTCTCTTTACTTCATTTACCTTTCCCTGCCAAAACCACGTCAATGTTGCCTTTTTTTTTATTGGCATTGAAAACAAATTCTTTTTAAAAAAGAGTGAATTTTACATATGTAATGTAGTATGTCTACTGTCTCTAGCAATGATTAATGGTGATTTTTAACGAACCCAACATACTTGTTATTCTTTCTTTAATTTCAACAAAAACTAATTTCAACAATATTTGAGGCCAATACCAGATGAAATTATATCTTTTATTTTGAAATGTAAAATATGGCAAATGTCTGTAATTGATTTTCAACTCCAACTATGTCAAAACATAGACAATATAGAAGCCAGGTTATAGTTTTTTTCTTACCTGTAATAATACTGCCAAGTCAGTGAATTTTATGAGGATGGTGGGGTAAGAGAAGAGATGGGACTGAAGGCATATCTGACTTTCCTTAAAACTGGCATCAAAACTTTTCTAGAAAAAATTCTTCTTAAAGAAAAAGGGAAATATCAGTTTGATTTCAGGGACGGCAGGTTTGATTCTCCCAAATACTTCGTTAAGAAAGTGGAATCAGCGATCTGGATCACCTGGATATTTTTCTACTTCTCTTCTCCATGAGCTATTTCATTAATAAAGTTGATTTGATATATTTCAGTGCCAGCTACAATCAGACGTCATCCTAAATATCAAGAAGTTGAAGAAGGACAGATGGCACAGTTTCGTTGTGAAGTAGAGGGTAGTCCCTTTCCTGTCACCAATATATTTTGGAAGAAAGACATGGAATTTATTAATGCTGTAAGTACTTATGTATGAAAACTAAAACAAAATCAGAAAATCCAAAATTTCTGCAAAATGGCAAATAAGTATATAAAGAAAAACTGTCTTTACCATTGCTGGTCTTTTTCAAGAATTTTGGACATGATATTGAATATTTGCTTTCTATTTCAGGACTCTGATAGACATAGAATAGACCCTGATGCTGGTATATTGAGAATATTTAATGTTCAGATGTCAGATGCTGGAAACTATGCTTGTATAGCCAATACAACAGGTCATCCTATTGTCACCTCAAATAGAGCCTATCTTAAAGTTATCAGTAAGTCATCCTATTGTAACATCAAATAGAGCCTATCTTAAAGTTATCAGTAAGTCATCCTATTGTAACATCAAATAGAACCTATCTTAAAGTTATCAGTAAGTCATCCTATTGTAACATCAAATAGAACCTATCTTAAAGTTATCAGTAAGTCATCCTATTGTAACATCAAATAGAGCCTATCTTAATGTTATCAGTAAGCTATCCTATTGTCACATCAAATAAAGCATATCTTAAAGTTATCCTATTGTCACGTCAAATAGAGCATATCTTAAAGTTATCCTATTGTCACATCAAATAGAGCTTTTCTTAAAGTTATCAGTAAGTCATCCTATTGTCACATCGAATAGAGCTTATCTTAAAGTTATCCTATTGTAACATCAAATAGAGCTTATCTTAAAGTTATAAGTAAGCTATCCTATTGTCACATCGAATAGAGTGTATCTTAAAGTTATCAGTAACTTATCCTATTGTCACATCAAAAAAAGAGATAACCAAAAGTTACCAGTATGTTATCCTATTGTCACATCAAAATAGAGCTTATCTTAAAGTTATCAGTAAGTCATCCTATGGTCACATCTAATAGAGCTTATCTTAAAGTTATCAGTAAGTCATCCTATTGTCACATCAAAAAGAGTTTATCTTAAAGTTATGAGAAAGTCTTCATCAATATTGTCAAATTTAGTAATCTATATTGTAATTGACATAACTTGTAAAATACTCAATGAAAGTTTATTTACATAATATGCTCTCTTTTAGAAACCCTGAAATTCAATCCTCAACCAAACAGTACCTACTATCTAGAACTTCATACTCAGAATAGAATAGATTGTGCTGCTGAAGCTCAAACACCACCAACAGTTCATTGGATTAAACATGGTAACAATAAATTCCAGTTCCCAGATCATATCCTAGATGATCAGGGTGTACTGTATTTTAATGATGTTCTGGTAACAGATGCTGGTTATTATAGTTGTGTAGCTACTACAAGTCAAGGGATGATCAATGCTACTATTTATGTCAAAATTGTTGGTAAGTTTTCTTTTTCACTTTTGGAAATCTTAAGATTCAAAAGGTGATTTGTCTTGCTGTTAGCTAAAACTTGCAGTAGGATTTGGTGGTTATTGGATTTTGTGGGTAGACCATGTATTATGATTTCTTTTGGTTAAGAGTAAGGTGTAGTTGAAACCTTCTTAGGTCATCTTTGAACTTGTTTAGAACATGGGCAGTTAAGTTCTTTTTGGAATGGTGGAGCATGTCAACCACTGGTTGAGCATACCTCCTGTTTCATCTTGTGATTAAGATGGCATATTCTTTACCTTTTTTTTATTTTTTCTTTCCAGAAAGTCCAAAGTTTGCCATTCATCCTGAAAATACAACAGCTTATGAAGGTCAACAATCGTTTGTTCATTGTGTTGCTATCGGTGATCCTAAACCTACCATAAACTGGAACAAAGATGGCCGACCAATATTGAAAGATTCACCTAGATACAAGGTTAGTAGACAAACATTATGAGATGTATTGGTTGTTAAGGCTTTGATCAAAGCTGAAGAAAAGAGAGGGATGTTGCCCATCCAATGGATGTGGTTGAGGGTGAAGCAAGCGGTTGAGCTTAGGACATGTTGGGCCAAGACTTCATGACCAAATAATGCTATTGCTGGACCTTCGATTAGCTGCCATTCAATATGCTGCTTTAATCTTGATATGTTGATGTTTTGATGTTGAAATTCCAAACAATATATGACAACTGCTTGTTGCAATCGTTTAAATGAATTTTACTTGGAACCAAAGATATCTTGAGCCCCAGACAGTCAACTCTGTCAAAGTCTGTCTAATAAACTGTTCAAATATAAACCAAGAAATGATAAAAGACATGAATCATTTTGGAATTATTGATAAGCTTTTCAGCTAGAACATCAAATTTAAAGATTAACTTGACAAATATTGTGGGAAATCAAAGCAGTAATTTAATATAAAAATATTTTAAATTGTCAACAGATTTGAAGCAGAATAAATTCCCACTTTACTTCTATGTGAAAATTCATGTTTTTCTATGCAGTAACAAAGGATGATTCAACAAGATAGCATTTTGTTATGAAATTCTTATCTAAATTTGAAAATTAATGTATTTTTCTTGGAACATTGAAGCAATTCATTTGACTGTGTTTATACATTATGTTTATCTCAAACATCGTGAAATCTGTCAATTAGTAAGAAATTATGTCTTTTTTTTGCAATTTTTCAGCTTTTTCCAAATGGTACCCTGTTGATTAAGACAGTACATATGGAGGATAAAGGAAAATATACATGTTTTGCCAATAACAGTGCAGGCTATGTGAAATCTTCTATATTTATTTATGTAACAAGTGAGTGAAGATTTATTTTTATCATTAGATTGTGTTCTGTAGTCTGAATTATATATTTATTGGTCTGTATTAGTATTGAAAACATTTGGTTGTCTGAAAATTGTACAAACTTCTTTCTTTGATGTTGATAAGCAATGCTTTTTGAAAGTTAATCAGTGACAGCTTTTCTTCAAATTTACAGTAAGGTTACATCCACTTCAGGATACAGTTGAGCATTTTTGAAATTTGATGTTTCATTTGGTTATATGGCTAAATTGAAAACCTACTATAATTTTTTCTTGAATGAAAAAGTCCTTTCGAATAGCAGGATGAATTTTTGGTTGTTAATAATTCATCAGATGTGCTATATATTAAATTCCACATTTGGAAAAGACATGTTCAGCAGCAGTCATCACAAATTCTACTGTATCAATTCCAATTTTAACCAATCAAAGCAACCTTTTCCATACATTAGATTTTGCCCACACTCCTGCCTCATGCTGTGTTAAAGAAGCTTCTGGCTTGTAAATGAAATTACATCACATAAATATTTAATACTTGAATTGATATGAAATAAAATGGACCCAGTTCAACAGAAAATATTTTCATACATTCTGAAGGGATGCTGTATTTGCTGCTATTGTGGAAGCATGGATCATTGTTTTGATCATCATCTGAATTTTGTCTATAAAACCATCTAATTACAGGTTATACAGAAGTTGAAGAAGAAGGATTCAATATGATGAAGACTATAATAATAGCTGTATGTAGTGCTGGAGCTTATCTAGCTCTAGTCATTGGTTTAACTGTATTCTGTAGTTACAGACTAATCCAACAACGTCGAGTTACTAAAGGTCTCAATGAAAGCTCTCGATTTCCTAGTAAGTTACTTATAATGCCTCAAATTTTTCAAACTACTTTCCGCTTTGTGATGCAAGTAAGAGGTGCTGACATGGGAAAAACATCTAGTCATCTGGTTATGACAATAACTGAGGCTCGGTGTGCCACAGGATGTCTAGGTTAAAGATCTCTCGACAGTTGGAAATCGAAAAAGAGTCGGCTAATGTCGCTGTCTTCACTTTTGGATGAAGCCATATAAGACTCCTGTAAACATACCCAAATGTTGGCTTCATTGTGTGACTTTAATGCCTCTTTAAATCAAAACCTGCAAAAGTGGGATTACATGACTTGACTTGTCTCTCTTTCAGTCAAATCAGAGAATGGTGATATTAATCGTGAGCAACATGAATTATTAATGAAAGATCGTGATTCAGGAACACAGTTTCGTAGCGTGAGTGATAGTGATAATCGTTCACATATATCTGGTATGAGTTCACATCCATCCCATAGTTCACAATCTCAACAATCACGAACCAACAGACGTGGAAGTTTTGACAGGCTTCATTTCCCCAGACAAGATTTACAAACTCTAGGAATGTTGGGTAAGTTTTAACTCCGTTCAGTACCTGTGAATATTGAATCAATAAGGTCAAGGTCAAAAATGTTGATGCAGCTTTTGTACTGTGGTATGTTACTTGCAAGGCAGGGAATGGTCACTCTTCTGGAATACCTGATTCCCTTTGTGAATAGACTTTTTTATGTTTAGTATCCTTTTCCGAAAGATTTTCTGGCACATTACCACCACATTCTGTCAAAATAGCTCATCCAGATTTGAATATTAAAAAACCAAATTCATATTGTATGTCCTAAAGCTTTTAACTTTAGAATCAATAACTTTTAATATTAAATTTGACCACTATATTTGCAGGTAAGGGCCAGTTTGGAGATATTTTTCTAGCCAAGGCTCGTGGTATCACCATGGTGGAACAAGAGACTCTAGTTGTGGTCAAATCTTTATTAAATAAAGAGGAACATGCTTTCTTTGAATTCCGTCAAGAAATGGAGATGTATTCTAAACTTGATCATCCAAATATAGTCAAATTGTTAGGTGTCTGTCGTGAAATGGAACCACAATTCTTAATTACTGAATATTGTGACTGGGTAAGTTTTTCTAAAATTTCCATTTTTTAGTCTATCAGGGTAAAGCTAGATATATCATGTATAAATTTCAATTTTGAATTTTAACATTTGAAAATTTTCAAAATCTAGCTCAGATTAAGAATATCTACCATTCTGGCCAGATATACGGCTCTTGGCCACATATTTCGTGAAATTTCTGCTTTTCTTTGAAATTCCTGTGTTGACTGACATCCTGTGGTAGTGTTTTAGTCTGTTTTATCATCGAAGAAGTTATATGCATTGGTGGATAAAAATGAAATTTAAGGAACATTTTGTTAAATAATGAAAGCATTTAAATAATAATTTTACAAAAACAACTTTTTAGTGTCTTGTGCACTGCTTTCCAAACTAGACACCTCATCACCCTCCAGCTTGGGACAATTCTCTTTAAAATCCCTACATTGAAATTTGATATTTACCTATCAGGTGCACTTATTTTAATAACCCTCTCAAAGTTGAAACCAACACGTTATTCTAAGTTGTAACTTAACCAAACTATTACTGCAACGCTAACCTTTACTCAGTACAAACACCATCAGTTGGTATCTGATACTACACTATATTAAAGGTATACTACCTATTAGAATTGAGATACACTTTAAAGTCTTAAACTTGCTCAATAAGATTATAATATTCATCAGTTGGACTTACCAGGTGCCATGACTAAAGAATAGAATCTCTATATAAGACGATATATCCATTAAAATAAGTAATTATTGAAAAACGCTTCTAAGTGTGTTTCAAAATTACTTTGTTTAATGAATTATTACTTAGTTTTATGGATTGGTAATAAAGAGATTCTGTCATATAGTTAGATACCAGGTAAGTCCACTGATGAACAAAGACTCATTTTGGTCAAGTTTAATAATTAAAATTTTTTGGTCATCCTAAGAGGTAGTATACCTTTAACATTAACATCTAATCATCTGTTCAACTCATCTACCATAAATTGTTTTATATCCTTAAATCTTAATGTTTATACAAACACGTTTCACATGATCAATGACTGCATTTTTAATCATTCTCTCGTTTTTCAACTCCAACTCTCAACCTAGTTTTCAACATTTTTCTACAAAGATGAAAAAAAAAACTCTTTCTATTCTGTACATATGTTAAAAATATACATTAACCAAGCTTAAGTTCTATTAGCCAAGATTTATGGCTAATTTTGATAGATTCTTGGCAAATTTAAAATAAGCTGGTGAAATTAAATTTTCTTTTATGGCAGGTATCAAAATAAAACTAGGTTTTGTTGTTGTTAAGTTGAGATTTTTATGACCATGATATTTTTTAGATTGATTGCTATTCTCTCTGATTATTTTATGTTTTTCAATCTTCTAAACAATGAAGACAAAACAAAACAAAAAAATAATGTTTATTTTACGTTTATGTAGAACCAATGTGTTACAGGAGGCAAAATTACTCTTTAAAAAATATTTGGGGGGGTCTTCTAGGGATCTTAAAATTCTTCCAATCTAATATTTTTCGTCATAATACCTAAAGAGTCTTACACTTTTATTTAGAAATAAAATTTAAAGTCTTGAAAAATCATGAAAATTATTGATTTATCATTTCAGGGAGATCTGAAACAGTTTTTGTTGGCTACCAGAGGAGATAATGGCCGCCGTATCCCACGACTACCAGCTTTGTCACTTGCTCAGAAACTTAACATGTGTAGTCAAGTTGCTTTGGGAATGGAACATCTTTCAAACCAACGCTTAGTCCATAAAGATTTGGCCACCAGAAACATCTTACTGAGTTCCAGAATGGAATTAAAGATTTGTAGCCTGGCCATGTGTCATGATTTGTATGCTGTGGAATATTTCAAAATTGGCCATTATCCTGTCCCAATAAGATGGCTGCCTTCTGAGGCTGTTCATGATGATGAATACACCACAAAAACCGATGTTTGGTCATTTGGTGTGTTTGTTTGGGAAGTTTTTCATCTGGCTGAAATTCCATATCGACAACAGAGTGACGAGGAAGTGCTGAAAGGACTTAAGAGTGGAATTTTGTCCTTAACTTACTCAGAACAATGTCCAAGTATTGTTACTGATTTTATAAGAAAGTGTATGCTAGACTCTCCAAAAGATCGGCCATCTTTTAGTGATATTTGTGTGATCATGGGAGATATGTTAGCTGCAGCATTTAATGAACATAATTAATTTATTTTACTGCCATAGAACAAAATTTAACTCAACAACTTAGGAATATACTCAGTTTTATATGACAGTTGAGGTTCCATCCTGGAGTATTCATCAATTTTTCAAAAGAATTGGCGAATGTGCTCAGGATGTGTTAGTAGCTAACAGCAGAGAGTCAAAGAACAGCTACAAAGGAAACTTTCCAATACCAAAGATCATCTAGTTTCATTATAGTCATAATAGTGTGCATACTTCAGGAAAGACCAGGAAGCAGTCCATCCGTTACTATAATTATTATTTAAAAGGTCTTTAGTAAAAGCAACTTGTGACTGTATAAGTACATTAGGTAGAGATGGGCCTTGTGACTTAATAGACATCTACTTAATTGAGATAAAGCAGCAAGGCCAATAGATTTGTGACTTGGCCAGAGTAACCATCAAAAACAAATAGTCAAAAATATCAGTATGGCATTATAAAGCATTATATTGATAGTGTCCATGATGTTGGAATTCTCAAGAAAAAGGAGAAAGAGTTTGTGATTCGTAAACGAAAAGAGTGAAAGCATATGATTCTATTGAGAATAGAAAGTTGATCAATGCTTCTTAAGAGAAATAAAAATTGCTTGTGATTTTATTAGAGAAAAAGAAATAGAATGTGATTCTTTGGGAAAAAAATAGCATGTCATTTTGATTCTCAAGAGAAAAGAAGAAGACATCTGTGAATTTCTTGAAAAAGAAAAGCGATATGAAATAAATTTTTGCAAGAGAAAAAAGCAATGCAGTCTGGAAACAGCCTGTGGAAGTGAAGTTAAGACTTCAAAACAGTAAAGAAATATCCTCAAATATTTGTGAAATAGACACAATTGACAAGAAGCAGAAAGAACTGCCAAATTGAAATATTGATAGTTTTATAATATTAATTATAATGTGAAAAACCACAGTTGGGTTTTATGTGATTTTTGAAAACCATGATGTTTTTTTTTTAATTTTGTCAGTGCTTAATGAATATTGTAAATAACTTAATTATTATTATTATTGTATAATTGTATTCTGTTTGTTATATTTTTGATTAGAATCAAAGTTGTTGATTCTATGCAGTGCTTTAATTTTTTATGGCACTTTGTTTGCTGCTCAGTTTAATAACTATTCCTGGCACTCTCTGAGACTTTCAAATCTTAATTCCACTTGTCATCGATGGCCAATCCTTAACGTCTAGAGACAGTTGAATATATTTAGCACAATATCAGCTATATGGTGACAAGTTTGATTTCAAGGCACAGACCAATAGAACCCAGTTGCATTTGTCATTCTTGATTCTTTACCAGTGAGCAATTTATCTACATCCCAATATTACTGTAATTTGTTAAAGCATCACAGAGAGATTGCATGCTGTCATTACCACCATTTAATATTGTACAAAATGATGAGTTATTAAACTGAGCAGCTATTTTCTTTATGATTACACTGAGTGTAATTAAAACTGGATAACGAGACTATAAATTAATTTATAATATATTTAATTATTGTTTATCATAAGTCCCAAAGTGCATTTCCACAACAAATAAGTTAGGCCCAGAAATTCTCATGAATTTTAATAAGAATTGTCACAAAATCTATCGGAAGATACATTGTCACATATTTTGAAATGTAAATCACACGAAATACAAGAAGTTATGTAACATTATGAATCTAATTGAATACAGCATGTAATAGTTTGTTTATTTTTTTTTTTTTGGGTTGCCTCACACATTCTGCTAAAATTTGCAAAAAAAAAAAAAAATCTTAAATAAGCATTTTCATACATATTGTGATAATATATCTTATTTACTTTCATCATTGTGAAACTTAACTACAGTGTGATTTGTGATTATTGATTTTGAAATGAGCACCATGCAAAAGTGAAAATTAATTTTTGGGCCTAATTTATGGTGAATACATATTTGTGTATAAATTCAATGTGTAGATGCTTACAGTGGTCTATAGAGTGTACAATACCAAAGTAATTCTCATTGTTAGATGACATAATATAAGCCTATTTCATGTTTCAGTTTGTAATGGTCAAATTGATTGAGTGATGAAAGAATGAATGAAAATGAATGAATGACAGAATAGATACAAAAAGCTTTATATGTAATAAATAATGAATTCAACAGGTTACATAATTTATGAACTTCGCATAATGAATAGTTACCAAAGTTTCATATATAATAATTGATGAATAATTTATTTGAATTTATGAATTTTGCATAAATCTGAATAATAACTTTCTAAGGCTCTTGATTTATAAATAAATACTTTGAATTAATGAATTTTGTCTATAACTATAACATTTGAATTTTTGCATAAATCAGAATAAATTGTAGCAAACACAATTAATTAGTGAATAATTTGAATAATGAATTTTGCAGTCAATAATAAAGATCAGTATTTTGAATATAAGATAAAATATTAATTTTTTATAATTTACTTTTGATTATTCTTTATAAGTCATTAGCATAAAATATGAAAAATATGATTAATTATAATAATGTATATGGCAAATTCTTATAATTCAAAATCTACTTAAAATTATAGCATGGAAATATACTTGTACCAAGTAAATTTTTAAAGATATGTTGTAGAAAAGTATGGTAGCATCTGTAAAAATCATCAGGATATCCAATCTAGGTAGCAATCAATTCTAAACTTGTCATGTATTTTGACTAGCAAGAAAAATGATGAATACTCAGTGTAATTTGTGTTTTTAGCTTGTAAAAAGATGCTTAATCTTCATCAAATCACATAACAGACCTTGAAAAACACATAGCAGACATGGGGTTCATTTTAAACCATAGTGCTGTAAGAGTAATACTTGAGCTGTTAAACCATTATGTATGATTATATTTATATTAATTATATGTCATATTTATTATTTCAACACGCTCCCAAGATGTTAACAATTATTTATACCGTATCAATGGGAAGAAATTAAATCTCTGCAATAATGTAGACAAATCTCAAATTCCAGCATAATTACTGTATATTTATGGAATTTTAAAATATATTTATGAAATTTAGAAGATAATTTTAGCATAATCTATGAAATTTAAAAAAATAACTCATGAAAAATAGATAACCCATTCTTTTTTTTGGTCATTTTTTAATTTTATTACATTTTGAGTTCAATCTTTTTCTTTTTTGCAGCAATTATGCTATTTAAATTTAGGCAATTTATTTGACATATTGCCTTATGTGTTTAAAAATTCCTGTTTATTTTAAGCAATATAGAAAAGAAATAAGTTGTAGTTACGTGTAATTGTGGGAGTGAATTTTGATAGTGTAAATGAAATAAGATGTATATATATTACTGAAATAATGTAAAATTGACCTTACTCCAATAAAATCTTCACTTGAGACTTGTCTTCTCTTTCCACAAGACTCATGATTATCTGTTGTTGCAGAGAATCATCTTGAAAAGTCATAGTCAGAGCCATAACATCACTTTCTCACAATCTGTACCAACATAGCACTTCATCACAATCTGTACCAACACAGTACTTCATCATAATCAGAGCCATTACATCACTTAATCAGAATCAGTACCAGCACAGCACTTCATCTCAATCTGTACCAACACATCACTTCATCCCAATCTGTACCAACACAGCACTTCATCATAATCAGAGCCATAACATCACTTCCTCACAATCTGTACCAACACAGCACTTCATCTCAATTTGTACCAACACAGCACTTCATCATAATCAGAGCCATTATATCACTTCCTCACAATCTGTACCAACACAACACTTCAACACAATTTGTACCAACACAACACTTCATCACAATATTTACCAGCACAGCACTTCATCACAATCTGTACCAACACTTCACTTCATCACAATCTGTATCAATACAACACTTCATCACAATCTGTACCAACACAACAATTCATCACAATCTGTACCAACACATCACTTCATCACAATCTGTACCAACACTTCACTTCATCACAATCTGTACCAACACATCACTTCATCACAATCTGTACCAACACTTCACTTCATCACAATCTGTACCAACACTTCACTTCATCACAATCTTTACCAACACAACACTTCAACACAATCTGTACCAACACAGCACCTCATCATAATCTGTACCAACACTTCACTTCATCACAATCTGTACCAACACTCCACTTCAACACAATCTGTACCAACACAGCACTTCATCATAATCTGTACCAACACTTCACTTCATCACAATATGTACCAGCACAGCACTTCAGCACAATCTGTACCAACACAGCACTTCAACACAATCTGTACCAACACAGCACTTCATCACAATCTGTACCAAAACATAAACTTCATCACAATCTGTACAAATACTGCACTTCATTACAATCTGAAACAATACACCGCTCATCAAAATCTGTACAAACACACCGCTTCATCACAATCTGTACCAGCACACCATCCCTTCGCAATCTGCACCAACACAACACCTTATCACAATATGTACCAACATAACACCTCATCACAATCTGTACCAAAACATAAACTTCATCACCACTTCATTACGATCTGTACCAAATATCCCTTAATCACAATCTGTAAGGTCTGTTAACACAGTACCTCATCACAATCTGCACCAACATATCACTTCTTCATAATCTGAACCCATCACAGCACTTCATCATAAACTGTACCTGCACAACACATCATTAAATCTGCACCAACACAAAAGTACATCATAATCTATACCAAAACACCACATCATGACAAATGTACCAAAACACATTCTCATTCTGTACCAACATAATTATATTGTAATGAAATGAAATATATGGAGTTTTACGGAAATTATATTGTAATGATGTTGCTATTATTCTGTGAAAAGATTTGTAATGGACCCAAGTGGTTTAAAAAGCCTTTCACATATAGAGAAGTAGGTAGATTTTTCTATATAAAAACAGTTTCTCGTTCTTAAGTTAATACGAAGCCTTTAGTGCTCACAGTTAAAGGGAGGTAAAAGAAAATAACAACTATGGCTACAGATAACAGTTAATTACTGTTTCTCAGTGTCAGTAATTGCTGTTTCTCGAAATAACTTGATTTTGTTCGAAGGGAGATAATCCAACTGAAGGGCCATAGCCAATATTTGTTTTACATCTTACTTTTTCTGCACCTAATTGGAGACAGGCAATGCCTAGCAGTGTGTAACGAAGGATATTTTGCCGAGAAAACAAAGTCAGCATGTCGAGATATCTTTAACATGCATTGCCTGTAGCACATAGGGACTTGGTTTATTGTCTCTGAAGGAAAAGACTTTTTTCAACCCCTCCAACCTGCAACACTGACAGGTACAACCTGCAACACTGACAGGTACAACCTGCAACACTGACAGGTACAAACTGAGTTAAAGGGGTATTACCTCAGTAGCATAAGTAGGGACCATAGCCCTACCCTCAGCCCTTATTTTGAAGTGAATTTTGTGCACTCTAATTGCTAAATTAATCTCAGGCCATCTGCCTTCAGCAGCCCCCACTCTCCTGGTCTCAAGGGGCATTGGTCCTTTGTGCCTCACCTCTGAGAGACGCGTTATTTTCAGGCATTCTCTAGATAGCCCCTATGTCCTCCAAATTCTCGGTGGTTGAACTTCATTTAACCACTATTGTTTATTTTCAGAGTGAAATTTATCATCCTCTGATTTAATTCAAAGGCGATCTGAACAGTTATAGTTTGGGACCATTGAATGTTTACAATAAGGGAGCCAAAGACGAACTACTAAGTTTATTATGGTAAATTTACATGATGCATTCACATGTTCATCATTGAAAAAAAAAACATATACATGTATATCTTATATGTATCAGTTGCCTTGCCATGTTGTTCTGTGTAACACACTATCAGCCTGTATGAAGACTCGTGCTTGCTTTCTGCCTGTCCTAAATCTACAGACAGAAATGACTTTACAAAATGCATTTTTTATATACATGAGTGGTAAATTATTCATATATAGTAATTATCATAATTAGTAGCCAATTAAGAATATCATATAACATTATAAAGATTATCTATATCTGTACATAATCTTTCAGTAAGTAAACAATCTTTATAATCTGGTTTTCACATAGATAAAGAGGTCAGAAGGTCAAACCAATTTCCTATGCAAGATGATCATATGTTTACATTTACAGAATGGGTCATAAAAATCTAGAGATTTTCTCTTTTTGAAGGAATTGAATATTTTTACTATTACATTAACTCAAAAGATAGAACACATAAGCTAAGAATAAATTATTGGTTTCTACTATTTAGACATAAAGATACCATTTCCAAGCGCCAACTTCTCTTGGGGGGAAATTCCTAGTTAATCAATATGTAAACTGAGAATGGCTTAAAAGTCATAGAAACTTTGAGTCTCATCCTATTTTTGGAGTAATTTTTATCATCATTAATACATAGAAAAAAGTTTAAACAATCTTCATTCATTGAAAACCTTGAAACTTTCACAGCAACACAAAGGTTTGTACTCTTAACAAGTTCCTTTGACAAACACAAATTCAAAAGAAAGGATCAGTCTTATAACTAAATGTTACTTTTAAAAGATCTCATATATTTTAATAGATTTGTAAAAATATTTGAGATTCTTTTTCAGAGTATTTTAGAATAATTTCCAGATCCAATCTGAAGAACTGTTGTCTCTGACAGAGCTCTGAACACTTTGACAAAAGATCAGTTCATGTTGTCAAAGCAGGGCCTGGATGGAATTTGGTTGATTTACAGTGGAAATATCAAATATCTACACAAATCGCATCAACTGTCATTTTGAATATGGTCATCAAAGCCTTCACTTTCAGTAACAAGAGCCCTCTCCAATATAACTCTTCCTTCCTTGTATCGTTGATTTTCTTCTGTAGCAAATTCATAGATCCATCCTAATTTAGCCTCACAGTTTTTACAAGAAACATCGCGAACCATGTGTCTTCCTGTTAACATCACACGATCCTGAACTTCACTGAAGTTTAAATTCACCACTTTATTAAAGAGGAATGCTCTGCCTGTAGCACCTAAAATACAATTTCGAAATTTTAAAATATTTGAAGCAAATAATTCAAATTGCTCCCTGACTAATTTAAGACGTGGTAAAAGTATTTTCTAGTATTTGTATTTAGGTAGAAGAAAATAGATTATTAAGCTCTGTTCTAAATTCCTGTCAGTACATTTAAATTCTTCTAATAAACCAAATACAGAATGCCGAGGAACCTCTTGACATCATTTAAGGACCTTTTACACTGTACATAATTATGGGTTTTTCAGAAAAATTAATGTTCTGACTAGCTGACTAGCTTACAATTTTCATGTTTTTGTGATATAATTTGAGGCAATAAATCATTTGATAGAAGTTGCAATAATGTAACAACTGAGTGATGATCCATACAATGTAAGTAGGTAATCTTAAATAACATGTCCTTAAGGGGCAAAATGTCATGATAATCATGATAAATCCCTTCTGTGCAGAATTTTCATATTTTGTACCAAACCAGACATCTGATAAATAGGTTATAGAGAGCAAGAAAAAGAATTTCTTTCTTTTTTAATTTTCCAATTCCAAAATTGAACAACTGAAAACAGGGCTGAACTCCTTCTGGTCACAAACAAGGGAGAGGATTCTGTATAAAATTGTGTACCTGTGAATCTGGTGGAAATCAACTCTGCTCTATTAGTTAAAGGTGTGTCACAGCTGGCACAAGAAAATAATCGATTGCCTCCAATATGATGGAGAAATACTCGGCCCATTTTCACCTGGAATAATCAAATAATAGACTAGACTACATAATAAAAAAAATCTATAATTTACGAGACAATAAACTGTTATTTGAAAAGGGTAAACATGTAGGCCTGTAGACATACATGAATAAAGTATTGATCTATCATATGTTGAAATCATTTGGTGGAGGAGGACATATTTTAACTGTATACTTAATCATATATTTATATCGCACAATTTACTTTGCTGAATCTCACTGACATAATCTTTAACAGTGCCCATTTACATAACTTATTAACATAATTAACTCTTTGAACTAAAAAATTGCCATTACCCATATGGCTGACTAATTTCCAATATTAGTTAAATTTTTTAGTTACAAGGACAATTTTTTCTTATGGAAATTATGGAATAATGATATGAAATGAGTTTGGTCCCTATTTAATTATTATTATTATTATGTATTTATATCTACCGAAGAACAAGCATGCATAAACAAGTTTTCTTTAAGAAAACCATCATGCATGTAGGCCTACAATATTATCTTACACAAATACCCTAAAGAGCACAAAGCCTCATAGTATAGTCTTTGACAGGGTAATATTTGTTGTGGATACCTATTGCAGTAAGTTCTAAAAATAGATGACCTACATAATAATACATTATCAGACTCACCATTATATTATTGACAGTTCAAGTACTAACCAAAGACCAAAATGTTTTGATTTCCCTATTTATCAAGGTGTAGACGTACATGTTTCAATTTGCAATATTAATTGGCAGTATCTTATTAGGGACAGCACTTGCACAGGGAAAATAGGTGATCTCAGAAAGCATTAGCATCCTGTTCTGACTTTTTTAAGACTTACTAGCCTACTTACCAAAAATAAACAATTCACGTCATTTTGTGGACTAACAATAAGTGAGAACCTTGCACCTTTCGCAAGTATTAGTAATATAAAACTGAACTAGAATACTCAATGAGAAGCCATGACTAAAAATAATTTCCCCCTCCCTAGTTGTTTACATTTGTGATGTTGAGTCGAGTAGGTAGGCCAACCAACATTCATGATCACAACCTGTCTGACTCATCTCTCACTAATAAACATGGACTCATAACTTACTCTATCAAAAAATACGTGGCAAACTTACTTTTTGAGATAATGAAGCACAATATGAATAATTTCAAGATTATTTTTGTGAACAAAACTAATCTTAGACTACACTGAGAGTTGTCTGCTTTCTACAGGTTCTCGTTTCAGCTGTCGATATCAGAATCAAAACAATTCGTGACGTAAAAGGCCACGTGGGTTGGGTCAGGTCAGGTTAATGAACATGCGTATGTGGCAAATTGACATCACACTTCCGGTTACACCATTTTGGCACTGACAAGAGGAAGGCGAGGCCGGTTTAGTGTTTCGAAGAGGTTATTCTAAACAGAAGTGTATTGAAGAATAAAACATGAAGAGGTGGTTGACGAGCGATGAAAGGCGCAAGAAAGAGCCAGAGGTGTTCGCTAATGTGACAGACGGCCTGAAAAAGATATACAAAACGAAGTTGTTACCACTGGAAGAAACGTACAAGTTTCATGACTTTCATTCACCACAGCTGGATGATCCTGACTTTGATGCCAAACCCATGATACTCCTGATAGGCCAGTATTCAACAGGGAAGACAACATTTATACGTTATCTCTTGGAACAGGATTTCCCTGGAATGAGAATTGGACCAGAACCAACCACTGACAGATTTATAGCTGTTATGCATGCAGACTCAGATGGAACAATCCCAGGAAATGCCCTTGTTGTGGATCCCAAAAAACAGTTCAGACCCATGTCAAAATTTGGAAATGCCTTTTTAAATCGATTTCAGTGTTCTACTATGAACAATCCTGTATTGAATAGTATATCGATTATAGACACTCCTGGTATTTTGTCAGGTGAAAAACAGAGAGTCGACCGTGGTTATGATTTTTCTGGTGTTTTAGAGTGGATGGCAGAAAGGGTCGACCGAATCATTTTGTTGTTTGATGCACATAAACTTGACATTTCAGATGAATTTAGGCGTGCAATAGATGCCATAAAAGGTTACGATGATAAAATTAGAATCGTTTTAAACAAAGCTGATATGGTTGATCATCAACAACTCATGAGAGTTTATGGCGCTCTTATGTGGTCTTTAGGAAAAGTTCTTAATACACCAGAAGTGGCTCGAGTTTATTTAGGTTCATTTTGGGACAAACCTCTGCATTTTGATGTCAACAGAAGACTATTTGAATTAGAAGAACAAGATTTATTTAGAGATTTACAGAGTTTACCAAGAAATGCAACCCTTAGAAAATTGAATGATCTTATCAAAAGAGCCCGATTGGCAAAGGTAATGCAAGCTTATTTATTTTATATGATACCTACTTTAAAGTGATTTTTCATGTGTAAACTCAACATTGACGATAGCATCAATTTGCACCATTCCTATTTTCAATCAGATGTCTGTGGTTCATGCAAAATAATTTCATTTTGTGATGATGTAACTAATCGCAAAAGGCTGATATGATAAAGCATATTTTGCGATTAGTGACATCATCAAACACTTAGTTTTAGTGGAATTGCCGAAACTACAGGCATCTGATCGAAACATAGAACGGTGCAAATTGATGCACAGTGTTTCTGACACATACAAGATTTAGAATAACTTCTTTAAAATCCCTTTAATTTGTTCATACAAAGAGCATACCGGTACTGTTGAATGTTTTGAGTGTCTGGTTAGTCACTAATTGTCAAGTACTGATACAGGTATGTCATACCCAATCTTTTTCTTTCATTTTGAATACACTGCAAGCTTTTAGGATGGTATGTTACATATGTTATCAGAATCTTAATTCATAGAATTGCTGGCAGAAAAGCAAAGAAGATTATTTAAGCAGAACCTTACGGAATTAATATTTGAATAATGGTAAAGATAAACTTATATAGACAATCAATCATAATAAATCAAAACTTGTTTATTAGAACAGATGAAGTGGTACAGCCATCTGTTTTGCGTCAAGACTGCTAGACATGAAACTGTTATTATCTCCCATTACTGTCCAACAGTGTAATAAGTATATTACTAATATAGTTGAGAATGTTACAGTTATTACAACTATAAGTTTATATAAACTATATAAACATGTAAGCTTATTTAGATTATTGATAAGTCTCGTTTTTTAAGACAGAGTTTGAACTATTACATAAGAGAATTTATTGATATTAAATCAACAGAATGACTCAGAAAATCATCAGATATTTCGACAGTTTGTATACATCAATGTCATTTATGACTTTCAAACATTTTCACTGAACTTGATAAACAGAGATAAAATGTCTAGTGAAAAAAAAAAAACTGTTTCATATATATAAGTCTGTTCCTAGTTACCTTGATTTTAAACTTGAACTTACAGGAGAAATATGACACTACCGCCATAAAGAAATAACATTTATTATGTGAACTCAGGGATGCAAAAAACAAATCCACCAGTGGCATCAGGTATTCCACAGTACTGGTATAGGTAATGTCCATGATCAACGAGTTATTGCCTTTTAAAAAATTGTTAGCAGACATTCATAATAAGCTCTGTTAACAACTTATTTGGCTGAATTTAATTCATATGGCCTGATCATAGTTTTAATGGGGAGCACTTATCTTGTTCAGTTTATCTGGAAAAAATAATACACAATAATTTGCAACAGATTGTGTTTGTATGATGCGCCAATTGATACACTTATGCACAAGGATGAATATTAAAAGTAAGCCACTAGTAGACTGACTAAAGTGACTAATAAAATGACTGAAAAGTAACATGACACTACTGGTTCAAATTATATAGTGATGATGTAGGACTTCTAGGTGTTAGAAACTTGCTTATTTCTGGGTGTTATACGCAGGTTATTTAAACAGACCATACCCAAGGTAATGTGTCACACTCTAGCCAGATGTAAAATTAATTGAAGGGCCTGACCATTCATACCAGTGTATTTAAGTAAATATAAGTAATAATACTGACCTTTAGTTCTAGTATTTATTTAGGTTACTATCTGTGGTTTACTACATATTTTGTCAAATACCTGAGTGGTTATATGTCTGTCAGATTTGTATCTGTTGTGTCACAACCACAGGGGATGGATGTTACACTTATAATTTAAAAAAAAAAAATTAGTATCCAGTAACAGTTTGATTATATTATAATGAAATATTATTAGACTTTATGTTATAGAAATATTATTGTATTAAGCACTATTTTAACCGTTAAAATATTTTATTAATGTAATTACATCATATGTAGGCAAGCTCTAAAAGCATGGCTGTATAAACATAAGGTAATTTTTCAGAACAAAATTCGGTTGGGGTGATACAGGCAATGACATGTTCCTCAATTTCAAACAATTTTTGTTTTATTAATTGAAAGTTTTGTTTGTATTCAGATTATGAAAAAGTTGCCAATGATGCCAATTCTTTAGAAATATAGTCACACAACTTTGACTTGCATGAATGCCAATTCTGAAACAAAATGATATGAATTATTTGTGTTTATTGTTTGTGGGACCAGTGAGTACTCAATTTAGTCTTTCTAAGCTCTTCACAACACTAAGCACCATGGAAAATAAGACTCTCTTTCTCTTTACATCTGTACATAATTAAACTATACCATTGGTCATGGCGGTCAATATACTAAAATAGCATAAATTGATTTAACTTCTGCATTGAGTTTTAATCGTTCAATTACACATTTTAATTCTGAAAAGTGATAAAGATAACTGAAATTAAGACTTATCAGGCCGTAAAGCAGATATATAAATGACTGAATCCCTGTAAATACGCTGTTAGGTATGTTAGTTTACCCCTTGTAATTTAAAATATGAATCATCAAAGAGTCTTTTAAAGAGGTATTGCAAAAACACATTAAAATTGGCATGTATTTATTTAGGCGTTTGTGTAGGCGTTATCATTCTTTGCTATGTACAATATTTTTCTGTCTGAACCTTTCATTCCATTCTGAAGTTGAAGAAAAAATATTGCTAGAATATGTTAAAATTTATGTATGATATGATGTATGATATATTTGAAAGGTTTATTTGATATTGAGAGTAGGCTATATCATGTTTAGCTAATAACACACATTTACTTAACAACATGCTACCAAACTCTTGCCAAAATAATTTTACCAATAAATATGATAGCTCTTGAATGTATAGGAAGTATGATTAGTTTAAGAGAGAGTAAATTATCCCCAAGAATTCTTTTATGATCTTCAACACAGAGTACAAGTCAACTATTTTTGGCACCACGACTAGTATATGATATAGGTGTAGTCTTACTTCTAAGCAATAGAGAGTTAATGAGCCAACGTAAATGAGTTTCTATGTGCGTTATTTATCTTCTTGACTGTAAACGCCTACAACCTTTCATCAAAACACAAGTTGTAAAATAGTACTGGATGATATTTATCAACATATAATATTACATGTTCAAGGCAATGTGCATTTCCATCCAATTATTTTGTAATCGTTGCACATGTATTAAATGGAAAAGATCAAATTTCAAAGGTTTGATCTTTTCAGAAAATATTTTTAGTTCATCCAATATTTGTAAGCATATGGTCCCAAGAAATTTGTACTGTATACCCTCCTGACTTCTGACTATATTCACACCTGTCTATAATTCAACCTCCTTACATGACTGGATGTAAAAGACTTCATTACAGTTGCTCAAATCAGTAGAACTTCAGGAATGGGACATTTCTTTTTTCTGTTAGACTTGATATTCAAGAACAAAAAGTATTTTATGCCAATAATAACCAGGCATGACTGGATAATCTGAGATACTCATCTTTTGGCTTCCTACAGGTATTGCTATTTTCTTCTTGTGTTGTTGAAGTTATTCGTTTCGAGATGGTTTAATGACTATCAGGAGACCAAAGGTGGTTCTTGGTGCTTTCTGTATTGATTAGAGTACTAGATTACGTTTGTTATGGACTAGAGAAAAAAGTGGAAAATAGTGTTTTGTTGTATTAGTGTACACTGTGGTGAGAATTACAAAATGAAGAAGTGGTTAGCAAGAAACAAGTCTCCAAAAGAGCCTGAACAATATGTCTCAGTTATTGAAGGTGTCAAGAAACTCTACAAAACAAAACTTAAACCAATTGAAGACCTGTACAAATTCAAAGATTTTCATTCAGCTCCGTGGGATGATGCAGATTTTCATGCCAAGCCTATGGTTCTGTTGCTTGGACAGAAGTCAGTTGGAAAGACAACCTTTATCCGTTATCTGCTGGAAGAAGACTATCCTGGAATGAGAATTGGTCCGGAACCGACCACAGATAGATTTATAGCTGTTATGAAAGGAGATATTGAAGATGTGACACCTGGAAATGCTGCTGTTGCCAACAAGAACCACCTGTATCAACCACTGTCGCAATTTGGTAATGCCTTTTTAAATAGGTTTCAGATATCATCACTAAAAAATCCTGTCTTGGACAGTGTCACATTTCTAGATACACCTGGGGTCCTGGCTGGAGAAAAACAACGAAAGGATCGAGGTTATGATTTCTGTAAAGTTGTTGAGTGGCTGGGAGAACGTGTGGACAGGATTATTCTGCTTTTCGATGCTCACAAACTGGATATTTCGGATGAATTTGCAGACGTCATATCCACCATTAAAGTTTTTGATGATAAAATTCGAATTGTTCTGAATAAAGCTGACTCAGTTGGTGAACAAGAATTGGTTCGAGTATATGGAGCTTTAATGTGGGCTTTGGGAAAAGTCATGAACTTTACTGAAGTACCAAGAGTTTATATGGGATCTTTCTGGGATCAACCCCTTAATAAACAGTTTCATCGCAAACTCTTTGAAGCAGAAGAAATGGATTTATTTCGAGATTTACAGAGATTACCGGCACATGCAGCACTCAGAAAGTTGAACGATTTGGTAAAGCGAGCTAGATTAGCTAAGGTATGGACGTTTTGTAATTTGATCTTTCATGAGTAGGTTGTTAAAATATATGGCTATCTGTTATAAGATATTTTAAGAAGTTGAAGTTAAGTGCCGAAAACTGTATTTTATTTTCAAAAGACATTAAAGTTGTTTAGCTGTGCATAGTGGTATCTTGGTATACAAGATTAGCTACTGTATCGATGTTATTGATCTTTGATACTTGGGTTGTAAAAATTCTGGCTAGCTCTATGTTTTAAGTGCTGGTAGCTGTATTTTTGTTCTAGCTCTATGTTTTGAGGTATTTTATGAAGTTAAAGTTAAGTGCCAGTAGCCTTTTTTTTGTCCAGAGATACAAAAGTTGTCAAATCTGTGCATGTACTGGTAAACCATATAAAGTATGGACATTC